CGAACTCACTGCCGAAGGATGGGCAAAGATACTCCGCGATCATATCTACTCCCGTCACGGAATGCCCAAAACCGTCATCTCCGACCGAGGACCTCAATTCGTTTCAAAATTCATGATGGCCCTCCTACAACTTCTCGATATCGCTCCGAACGCCTCCACCGCCTTCCATCCACAAACAGATGGCCAAACCGAACGCGCAAATCAAGAAATCAATAAGTATTTGCGCATCTTCGTTAACTACAGACAGACGGATTGGGATGAGTGGCTCGCTCTCGCCGCCTTCGCCCACAACAACCGGATTCATTCGGCCACCGGCCAAACCCCTTTCTTCACCAATTATGGAATTAACCCCCGACTACTCCCCGACACCATCCAGACCACCCCCTTTACCAATCCAGCAGCCAAATCCTTCGCAGAACACATGCAAGAAATCCATCGACAAGCAAAGGAGTCACTTGAGGAAGCCGCCGGAAAAATGAAGACACAGTATGACAAACGAAGGAGGGCCTCTATCGACTACGCCGTCGGAGACAGAGTGTGGCTCGATGCGACCCATCTTCACCTCCCGCGTCCCAAGAAAAAGCTCGACGATAAACGAGTGGGACCTTTCCTCATTCTGGAGAAATCCGGCGCCGCCACCTACAAACTGAAACTCCCACCACACTGGAAAATACATCCTCGCTTCAACGAAAAGCTCCTAACCCCCTACATACCACCCGCGTTCCCCAATCAAGAACGACCACCCGCACCCCCGCCAGACCTCATCGAAGATGAGGAGGAATACGAAGTCGAAGAGGTCCTGGACTCACGCACCAGGCACGTCCGAGGGAAGAAAGGACAGAGGTCACGACTCGTAACCGACTATCTCGTCAAATGGAAGGGATGGACACGTGAACATAACTCATGGACACGGGAAAGCGACATGGAAAACGCCCAAGGAGCGATCCAAGACTACCAAAAGGAACTCGCTAAGCATACACCATCAACAACGATGCGAAGGGTGATCGATAGATCTCAGAAAGCAGTCAAACAAATTGTAGACCGCGACTATCGTGAAAATCAAGCTACCGGTGGGTGGAGCATGTTCTACCAAGTAGAACGAGTAGATGGGAGGAAATTCTGGATAGAGGAACCCGACAGAGAACGATGGAAGACACTTATCGATGACTACTGGGCACGGGAAATCGAAAAGGAGATCAAACCAGGCGACTGCATCTTCTGCGATCAAGAGGAGGACGAGGAGGAAGACATAGAGGCAGTCGGGACGACTGCCTTGATGAGAGGGTAATGTTATGATTTATTCACTTTTTTCCTTATCTTATCTTATCGCATCATAACCTTCCCATCACGAGACCAGTACACTTGCGCAATCCTCTCGCTATCCGCTGCACCACCTTTTGATCCCATCTTCCTCATCTTTTGCTACTATTATTAGGCCCGACGTTTAGTATATAAGTACGATAAAGTCCAGCATGTAACCTCAGCTTCAAGCTATAGTTTATATAACTCTATCTTGCCGACTCACTCGCTGAAAGGCTATCTAATTGCACCTTCACCATATCCCGGACTTAAACAAGGATCTCTACAGTGACTGCCCGAACGCGAGACAGCCGTAGACCTACCTTTGTCCCTCAATATTGGCCTGGGTCTAACACTCTGTTATATTGATCATTGATATAGTATTTGAGGCTTATAACATATCAAGTGGATACTATATTGATATTCTGGGTTCTGCTATAAGGGTTTGTCTATTACTATATTAAGTGAAGATTGCAATTAATGTCTACTTATTACAGGGAATTGCACCAACACTTCTGGTTGGACGTGTTGCAGCAGGGCATGCAAGACCAGATGACTCTTGGCAAGAGAGTGGTACTTCCACAGTATCCTCCCTTGATTTTGGGACTGGTACTGTTTCAATACAGGATAGAGATATTTCACAAAGCACTGAACTGGTTGAGATGAGTAACATAGACCCTGTGCCAGAGAGGAATTCTGCACTTATTGAAGAAGGGGCCAGAGAGACAAGATCCTTGGACATTGTCTAAAGTCTCTGCAGCACATAGAGAACCAACTTGTCAGTCAAGCCTGTCACTGTTCTTTATATATTTAGTATATAGATGTCATAGATTATTTCTAAATGAACATTATTTTTATTTTTGCAACTGCATTAATTACTGGTTCCTGCATATACATGTTCAAAGAGTAAGAGTAAAAGTGGACTCCAAAGCCCATAGTACATACTATGAACTATGTAGTATGTACAGTACAGTTGCACATGAAACCCCCAGTTTTGATACACCCCAGTTTCGGACTGGTAAGAAACCACAGGTCAGTAGTGCATATTTCATTGAGGTAACTTACTGACCACATGACAATATTACCACTAACGTTTTTGTGATTTCACTTCACAGAGCAGCAAGTAGTAAGAAGACGTAGCCAGAGAATCCTGACGGGTATTGGGACAGACTTCATGAGTATTTGAGGTATGACAATGGGGCAGCATAGCATCATGGTGTTGTACAGAAAATTTTGGAAAAATGGCTCCATAGTGGTCATGTGAATAGTCCCATGACCAGTAAGAAACAGTAAATTACCATACCGGTAAGAAACTCCCCAGGAAGGGTAGGTACAAAACAGTATCAAAACTCCCTGGAGATTTCCTGCGCAGCCCTAATGTACAGTGTAAAATTTCCAATGTTCAATGCTTAAGCAGTCAAAATGGGCCTCACTGGGAATTGAACCCAGGACCTCCTCGAAGTTCAACCCAAACGAGGAATCATACGACTAGACCATAAAGCCATATTCAAATGCTCATTTGTGAAGTATAGATTGATAACACATCTGTTTTCAAGTTTTCCTTTCTAATCCGGCCCTGGCGACTTACATGAAGCCATTCATTGGATTCTTCCCTTCTGTTTGAAGCACCGCCGCGACACGGTGTTCGTTATACCGTTTCTCAAAAATGAACCACTATCGTCAGCAACATCTTCTCCGACATCTATTCACATGCAGACGACTTCTCCACCAAAATGGCCGCTATTTATCAACCAAAAGGAACGAAACGCTGCGAGACACGCCGTCGTCATCTTCCAACCCTCCGAAATCCCAACCTTCGCCGGGTGATATAAATTTGGAACACCAAAAGAGTTGGCTGACACGAAAAGTCGAGTCCTCACCGACAACTCGCTGGTGGTTCATGAAATTCGTGAATTTGCTAGGGTACGGGACTCCGAAGCAGTTGGCAGGAAGAAGGACGTTTCCGTTGTATGCAAGGCTGTGCGCAGCTGCACCAGACGCGGAGATGACATTCTGGCATCAAGGTATGTATGCCTCACATGTTTTTTTCAGTGCAAACGTATTGACTTTTCCTAGATTGCGATTTGCCGCCAACGTTCCAATCGTGGTTTACTGTCACCAACCTCCATACTTGGATGCTCGCTGTCCGTTTCCGCGCCCTCCCATCTCCCCACGGAAAAGAATACGTGCAGGGTCTCGTGGATCACTTTTTCCTTGACATCGAAGACCGAATTCGTGCCGTGCTCCAACCTCCTTCAAAGCCCACAGAACCGTACACTTTCGCGTCATCCTTCTATACCAACCCTAATGCGCCTACCACGGGACCCGACGGCAAGCCCATACGGCGCAGAGCCGCACCGGAGCGATTGGTATCTCGACAAATGAAGATTTTCAAGGAGCAGTGGGCAGGGATGTGGATGTCTCTCGACCACGCCATGGTGAAGGGCGACATGGAATTAGCAGCTGCTGTATGGCGGAATCTACTCGGCGCTCGTGGAGCAGCAGGCATCGCGTATCCCGATCCCAATGATCCCAGTGCTCCTGCTCCGTACCGTCGTACCGTCAATCTCGTCGGAGGCCTGGTGGAGAACATTGAGAAAATCGACTTCGAGAAGGAAGCGCACCGGGATGATGGGTCTGGCGTCTACGATTATGCGCCCTCCGAGGCGGATAAATACGTCAAGTATCCTGACCTTATGCTTGATGTGGTGACGTACCTTCGCAGGGAGCTGGTTCGACTGGAGAATATCGGCGACGAGGAGATTATGCATGGCGATATTGCCGGACTAGGGTTTGGTCGAATTGCTGAATCTACCGTCGATGCGTCTAAATCCAGGGACGCGGCGAAGTCGAGTGGTACACCCCCCACTGGTGGCGCATCGAGGCTTAGTGACACTGCCAAGTCCAGCGACGTTCTCAAGACAACCCCCTCCAAACCCAGCAAACTCTCTACAAGCGAGGCCGCCAAGCTCGCTGCCACATCCAAGACGAGCCCTCTTGGAAAGCCCAAGAACGGCAGCTCGCCGAAGCCCAGCACCCCTAAAGCAGACCCTGCATCCAAAACAAGTGACGTGAAAAGTTCGCCTACCAGGTCAAAAGCAACAAAACCCGTTACACCTTTAAATAAGTAACCGCTGCCGTACACCCTACTCTCTAATAAACGCTGTATCATTATTGTTCCTCATTGGCGTTAATCATCTGGTGGAGATAATAAATTTCGACTTCAGAGATCAATTTCTGCAGTGAACGCTTCTTGACGCACGACTAAGAGATATGACCGGCGACCGCCCCAAAGTAGTTTTGATTTCATTTACAGCATCTGATCGATGCTCCTCTTCCCAGCCTGCCTCCGACTCAAACTCGACCGCGCATAGGGACCGTTCTAGAAAAAACACGACCTTTGGGCGGGTCGCCTCTAACTGCTAACTAGGCTTCAATATTCAGTTTCTGTCCATGTCCTATATCCAGGGTTTTTGGAGTCATGCCACCGAGATTTACAGTGATAAACACCCCTAGTCCATGGTTGCGACTAACGAAGAGTCTTCGTCTAACACAAACTGAATTTAATCCGGCATTGCGAAAGTGATTGTCAAGGAGGGAAAACTGCATTAACGACGTAGCCAAGGTACGTTGTCTTGTCTTGCGCAGGCACTGTCACGGCGGGCTCCGCTGGAGTACCTTCAGGCTATAAAAGTGTCAGTGGCTTGATGGTCTAGTAGTATGATTCCTTGTTAGGGGTGGTCACTGGCATGCCGTTTCGAGGAGGTCCTGGGTTCAATTCCCAGTCGAGCCCATGTACTGGAGGGTAAATTAAATTTTTAGTGAGTCACAGCTCATGACTGACGAGTTAATCCTAGGGGCTGAGTTAGAGTTGTGGTGGGGTAATTTACCGTTTTTTACTGACCCCTCCCAAGGAGGGTGTTTTGATACCGTAGGAGACCGTGATTTACTGTTGCTTACCATGCAAAGTCACACAAGAGATGCGCGGCAACTGCAAATCACTAGCCTGGCAAGCCGCTTTATTGTATACTCGCGTAACTCGTATCTGTATAGCAAATTGTGTTATCATCATGTCCGTGTTCGCTTTTGGGACATTTCGTTGTCGAGGATGCTGTAAGTCATCTGAGCAAATTGCATATTCACTCCTGCACCGATCTGTCGTTACGTCGGTCTGTCCGTTGATATGCGATGTTCACCATGTCCACCGGTGATCATCACTTCTCCCTACACAGTCCATCCAAAAGCATCAGAGACGACCATACCTCCAAAAAAGACTTACTTACACATCCACATCTCTCAAAATCGCCTCGAACCTACTCCTCAGCCTCTGCACCTCCCTCTTATGCACATCCTCCGTGCTCGACCCGAAATCTACCAGAAACGCCTTGCATTCCCTGATGAACTGCTCGAGATCCTTTGCCACCAACAGGGATCGCTCAGGTTCGTTCGATCCTCGGGCTTTAGTGAGGAAGGCTGCTGTAAGCGTTGCTATACCCCCTAGGAAGTAGGAAGAAATAAGATTTGGGGGAATAGGGAGATGGGACTTTACCGAGGACGGGCAGGACGATCGTGATCTGGCAACCTTCAGTCAGCGTATCTAGGCATAGAACACTGATCTCGCACCTCGCGTCCTGTAACAAGTGCTGAAATGGCCGTCGTTAGAGCGCCAACAAGGAGCTGTATGCCTATACAAGACATTCCGTTTCTCGGTAATTTTCCGGAGGTGCAGAGGCTTACCAATAGCGATATTCATGGTGTACCCTTTCATCATCGCGCGCTCCGCGTATTTCTTCCTCTCCACCTCTGCCGCTATAATCGTAGGTAGCATCCACTCCTCTACGTTTTTGACGTGGATCTGTCTGGAATGAGTAGATTGGATCGGTATCTGAGGAAGCAGCCTACCTTAGACTCGTAAGGAACAATGTAGTCAAGCGCTGGTATAGGAGGCAGAGGTCGGTTTACGCGGTCATGTCCAATCTGAAGTGGGTCTATGATGCTAGAGCGTGCCTTATTCGTTTGCTGGGTAGATACGGAGATTTCAGTTGGGGTGATACTAGCTGCTGGGTTCGGGCACGTCGGTGCAGTCGTTTCTGATAGTTTCGTGGAATCTTGGAGTGTCGTGTTCTTAAAGGTAGGTCCAACAGTAGCTACGCCCGCGATGAGGGCAGGTGCAGTGGTAGAACCCTCTAGAGGAACAGAGGGTGTAGCGGAAGTGGAGGTGGCATTTACAGGGATATGAATCGGCTTCGTGGGTGCATCAGGAGATGGAGGCGTTGGTTGCGACGAACTCGACGATGGCTTATTATCAGCAGGAGCCAATGGTTTGGTTGATGTAGAAGTAAGAATACTCGGCGGCGGCTGGGATATGGTCGGAGGCGGCGTTGCTGATGGCGAACCTGTGGTTGAAGTGGTGGTAGATACTTCTTCCAACGAGGGAGCAGGCATGTTTGATGAATCAGCTCGTGGCATCATCAAGTCAGACGTTGACGGGATACCAGGCTGCATAGATAGGATTTTCGGAGTGTGCGACTCTGGCATTGCCGCACGACTCTGTACCAGCGGGAACACAACAACGATGCAGTTCATATAACGAGGACGTTCGAACGTCTTGATCACGTTTCAACTAAGATGGGTGCTCTGTTAAATTCCGACGCCGGCGGAAAGCTGTGAGATTGACTGCTGGGTCCGTCAGACGGTCCCCGGGGATCGAATGACATTTGGAAGCTCTGAGGATGGCTTCGCGGCTAATAACGACGGATCTTTCGTGTCGGACGAATGAAGTGCGGCGTGTATCCATTGACTTGTCATCGGTGAAAGAATTCACAGTAAAGAGTCACCCGGTTAGAGACAGACGGCATTCATAGTGAGAGATGTTGCACCGCGTTTAGCGTGGCATCTAGAAGTGAGCGATCTTTAGGAGTTGTTTCCACCGCAATGCTTCAAATGAGAAGGATAATGATTGAGAATATATGCCACAGTGGAGTAACCTATATGATGCTCAGACGCAGTCAACGGAAAGAGAGGACTACCCACATGGTCATACAAATAATGAAAATTAGAACCGTTGTTATATCGGTCCCTTTCGCTCATCAGTGCCTTGAACGTACATTCCAACATGAACTCTCGCAAGGCGACTGGTGTTTTCGTCATTTACTAGTTTCACTTTTATCCCGGCACACCTAGAATAAAGTTCACCTGGAGTTCCAACTCGAAGCAGAGCATTTAATCACCACGGCAAAGCATACCCCACGACATGTCCAGTTGAAGGATTCCTTGTAATCTGGACGCGTCTTGGGAAGGAGGTGCGTTGAAATGCTTCTAAACACGATTCCTTTTAGTCTGTCGAATATTAGATATCGAGAGAAGAGCAAGAAGAGCAGAAACACGAACATCTTTATTCTTCCGCTCTATCGTCGGCCCAGCTTCTGGTTCCACCTGAGACGTTTTCCCCTTCAGAGTCTTCGCTGGTACCGCAGGGACCTTGAACTGCGGCTTTGGCGGGGAAAGGTCTCTGCCCTTTGCATGCAAGAATAGCGGTGGCTTGCAAGGAGTGGGATCATCAGGCCGCGGTAATGCGACTGGCGGTGGTGAGTAGTCACTTACCACGGAAGACGCGTAGATACGATATTCGTCACGTCTGTGTCCCCAAGCACGACTTGGAACACCTATCGAATGCTTTTGCTCTGGCCGGAGGCAGAAAATGTTCTGAAAGTAGACAGTGGAAAGAACGGCCTGTGTATGATCATGATGATAGCAGTTGCCTTGTCATCGTACTAGACGTCGGCAAGATTAACGGACATTGCAGCAAGGTCGTCTGTGCGGTGAGGATGACGACGAAGGTGATGCCATTGAGGTATACGTGGGAAGTCGTGAGGCACTGGACTGCCTCTGTAAACAAGGCTGCTCGACGTCCGAGTGGCGAGCTCATCGTTAACGTTGGAAGCCAAGTCTCTTCTCGACGTGTTTAATCGCGTGCATTACTCTAGGTTAGCGCCTGTTAGTGCTGTCGTGCGCTGCCAAGGTAAGTTGCGGAAAGGACATGCGAATATATATGCATGAAAATGTTAGATGGAGTAAGGGATGCGAAGTGAGCGAGTGATCAAGGAATCATTGATTTCTCGGGTAAGGGGGGAGAGAAGACAGCTTCAAGGAACAAACTAGTCGAGCGGAGGAAGAACCGGCAACAGGAAGCTGTACTTGGGAGAAAAGATGCCGGAAGCTCGGACTTGCGTAGTTGTGGAAGCTGAAATCTCAGGTGTTCGGGCTACCTGGAACCTGGACAGCTGAGAGAAGTGGCTGCCGCGTCAATGCAGGAACAACACAAACACAGAAGGGAGAAGGTGGGCGGGTCAAAGAGATGGAGAGCGAAGAGCCAACGAAGCAACTAGGAAAGAACAACGAGTGAAAATACACGAGCACACAATTGGCTCGCAGAGATCGCGTTGTTTGGCTGACGAAGCTTGGCCAAACAATTGGGGTAGCACCGCTATCTAGGGAATGGTATAAGTAAACTCATATGCTTCTTCTCTTCTCTTAACACAAGCTTCGAGCCGTTCGTACCCCACGTCAACGCTTGTGGGGTATTAATCTACTGCTGGACCATCATCATTGTCGGTGACATGCAGGCTGACTTCTCTTCTTTCTCATCCTGGGACACCGACAGCCATCCAACGATGCTGAAGATGCCGATGCCTACTACAAGTGAAGAGACCTCCGGTCCGAAAGTAAAATATGTCTATGCAGATCAGGACCCGAGGTATTCTCTCCCTCCCTCGCCAAGTCCTTCTTTTGGACATGTAGAATCGCTGGACGTCACGGATCTATTGAACTATATGACTGTGGTCAAGGACACATTCCAAAATAAGTCGGAGGTTTATGATCGCTTTCTCGAGATTATGAGGGATTTTGATAGCCAGAAGTGTGTCGAAGTATCATCTGATTCTGCTACTCTCATTCATCTCATTCTCAGCATCGATACTGCTGGCGTCATGCAACGGGTATCACGACTATTCCATGGGGACCCCACGCTCATCGAAGGATTAGACCCGTTCCTCCCAGTTGGATATCATATAGGTATATCTGCCCTTAATTCGGATACCATCGCCCTCGAGATGGTGGACTGGCTTCCTCCGAGACCAGCGAATAAGCGGAATAGACGGAGTCTGACTCTATCTGAGGATGAGAAACTTGAAAGGGAGGTGGGTCCGAATCTACCCCGCCAGAGTTTATGCATCTATAGCAAGGCTAGGCTCTTTTAGACGTGCTTTTGGACAGATCAAGCTCAGAACCTGGGCATGGTGTGAATATGAGTATAAATAACGTAGTGAAGCAAGTCACCGACACACTATCCAAATCAAATATACACGATCAACTACTCCGTTTATCAGTCGAGGAAGCACAATGCACTTTAGACTTCCTTCAAGATGTAACTCGTGTCTTCCAAGCATTTTATCATAACCTAACACTGGCACTGGTCAGCTTCTAAATGGATCCAGTCTACCAACAATATCCAAGCGTACCCTTCTCAAAACCTCTCTCGAGTTGACGCGTATACATGACTGTGTACCTCGGTGTCTGATGCTCAAAGGCTTCAAAAAGTCAGGGGATTATCCATTTGCTCTAGGGCATTTTGGTGAGCTCTGGAGAGGACAAGTCGAGGGAATGGAAGTAGCCGTTAAACAAGCAAGGGTATTCACAAGTGACGATAACATCAATAAAGTTTTGCGAGTAGGTTGTCATCTATCTATTTTTCACGGTTTGGCTTTATATTTCCTTCACAGCAAGTGAGGCGAG